TGAAGGCTTAAATAATTATAACCATAAAAAACCGGAATAAATTTATCCTTTGAGATATTAAACAATTTTACTTTGATAATTGTACAGACCAACAATAAAAGGAGTGATACTTCATGGGAATGAGAGTATAATTAACGTAGATTGAAGTCTTTTAAGAGAATTTGATATCCGAGCCGTTATGATTTATAAAAAGATATTTTAGAAAAAATTGAGCTTCTAATTGAATGTCATGATAGGAAATCCTCTTTCTATCAGTAGTATAAATTTAGGTAATCGGCAAGGAATTAATTAGAACCACTTAAAAATTGTTAAAATTGGGAGTGTTGGTGAATTATTATTCAGGTGCTCTTTGAATAAACTAAAGTTTCTAATGATGACTTAATAGAGATGATAAAGTAGAATTATTAGCTAGTTAGGCTTTAATTATTTTTAGTAATCTTATTTATTTAGAGGTTCAGGATTATCAATTTAATTTATACTCTCTACAGAGTGATAAGAAAGATTTAGAAATTGCAAAATGAAAATAACTTATTATTATAGTGAGATTTAACTCATAAAATATCAAAAGATGGCCTAATAATAATAAAGAATAGTTAATCATCTTATTTATCAAGTAATATTCAATATGAATTAAATTAGAAAGACTTATTATAATTAAATCTATTGAAATATCATTTAAATCTAAAATTGATTTTAATTTCAATTTCAATTAACTTTTTGTAATTTAACTATTAGATTGACATTTATTTGAAGATTCTTTCTTTCCTACAACATTAAGCTCTATATAAAATACGTTTTTAATTACATTTTATATCTAATCCTTACTATTCACCTAATCTAATTATTTCATTATAGTCATTCAAAATTATTTAAAATTTTTTATCGAAGTTTTGAAGATATGTTTATTCTAAGAATCTGGCTTAATCAATTCTTAAAATTATTTAAATCGATAAGTTAGAAATCCTCAAAATGTTACTTATTAATAATACAATTATAATCTATAATTTTAGCAAATATGATTCAAATTTTTAAGTAATAAAAAAGGAAAGCTGTGTAAAATTTAGTTGGCCAAATCTTTTTTTTGGGTGATGAAAAGGAAAGTTTGACCGGGTGACTAATCCACAGGAAAACAGAGTCCTTGAGAAGATGTGAAAGATACAAAAAGCTCAGCTCATACACTATTATATTTGACCAAATATATCCTCCTACATGGATCGCTATATAGCTTGATTTTTGTGGCACCCGTTTGGCTAGCTCTGAAAGGGATGAAATATATTGAAGATTCTGAGGAGGAAGACGATGTGTGGCATATTCAGATGAAGAAGCGAACATGGAATGTCTTCATTTCATTAGAATGAATTTGAAGACTAAATTTTCTAATCTTAATAATTAAATTCTTGTGTTAACTGATAAAGAGAAATCTAATATTAATAGCTATGGTGATGTAAGTTAAAGGTGTATAATTTCAGAGATTATCAGTCTAGAATGAAGATGATTTACTGATAATCAACGTTTAGCGATGATCTGATTGCGGCTAACTGACATCTAGAATTCATTGTGTAGCCTTAAATTAAGTAACGATGAGTATAGAATGAATAGATTAGGATGCATTCTATCATGTGGACTTGATGATTAAGATTATGAGGCCAATTAAATGGATGAGATTAAACCTGATTAAGGC